AATTAAAAACCTATTTAGAGAATTCCAAGGATTACCTCGTTAGTAGGACACGCCTTATAATCCTCGAAGGGGTAGATAGAAGGGCATACTCAATATCACCAATTCTGTTAGTGTCACATTTTTTAAACATCACTCCAGCTCCACACTCCTGTGTCGTGTTTACTAAGACGTACACATCACACACAGACACAGAACTATTATTTGTATTAAACCAGCGGCACATTGCGCAAAGTCAAAGCATTTATTTCAATTAAACCATAATTTGGTGCTTTTGAAACGTCAACAATTATACAAAATAAATAATCGTCTGTCAGTGAAACTAGGTGAAGCTAGGTGCTCATTCCAAAATGTAGATTCGAATGGAGAAGAACGAGTAAGAAACTCCATACGTTACTCTTTTTTAAAAAGTATATTCCACAACGTCTCCGATACAATGATACATATTCCAATACTGTACGTGTATGTGAGAACAATGCAAAGACACGCTTGACGCATTATACTAATTACAAAACTTACTATTATAAAAAAGCACCAATCGTGCAGTCATCATGCACAATATGTTTGTCCAATCGAAAACAAAGGCGTAACGGTGTCTACCTAGACGAAAGTTCATTATTAAATTACCAGTGCTGAACTATGTAAGAGTCTCCTCTACATAAGAGGGTTTGTCACAATTTCCGCAGACGGGTTGGAGGTCGCAGTATACGAGATTCAGGGTTATCAGAGAGCGCTGCTGCACGGTCTCTGTCAAATATGTAGCCACTTTTTTATGGAATAGGAGGCAAACGAGCACACGGATCACCTGATGGTAAGCGATCAGCGCCGCCCATGGACACCAGAGGAGTCACAAGTGCATTGCCGGCCTTTTCAAAAGGAATACGCTCTTTTTTTTGAAGGTCTGGTACACTTAGTCGGGTATACGACACTTGCGGGAGGAGCAGATACAGTGACAAATGTATTCTAGGTACTTACTCTGTTGTCAAAAAGTGTAAGTTCAATGCTTGGTTTACGACTAATTTTACCTGTTAGATCGAATGCAAGGAGGAATGTCGCAACATACGTACAAACAAATGAAAGGTCAAGCGAGACCTATTTCATAATGTAACAATGTTGCTAACATTACTTTAGTTCTTACTTCATTTATTTTTATAGTACAAGCCGGTAATCGAGCAGACGGATCACCCGATGGTAAGCAATCGGCGTCGCCCATGGACACCTGGAACACCAAGGCGTTACGAGTGCGTTACCGGCCTTTTGGGAATTGGGAATTTGAGGATTGTGGAGGATTCAGGGATTCTGGAGACTAGGGAGGGGATTTAAATGAAGGGATGATTTAAATGTGGGAGAGCCACGCTTCGACATGAATGGGCCGGCTCGACCGGAGTCATACCACGGCCTCACAGAAGACCGACGTGAAACAACGTTGTGTTGTTTCGTTGTGTGAGTGAGGTTACTGGAGGCCCAATTACCCTCGCCCCCTCCTTTCCCCAATCCCTGAATCCCCAACAATCCTCAATTTCCTAATCCAGAAGGCCGGTAACGCACTTGTAACGCCTCTGGTGTTGCGTGTGTTCATGGGCGACGCCGATTGCTTACTATCAGGTGATCTGTCTGCAAGTTTACCGGCTTATCCCATAAAAAAAAACCTGAGAGCCTCTACTTGACAGTTGTTTTTGCAACCAGCCAACCAACAAGTCAGTCAGGTCAGGATTAAAACCTTAATACTTTCAAAAGCATATTCATGTACTAAAATAAATGGTTTTTCTTTCTTTTCTTTCTTTATCTTACTAGTTTCAGAAAACCTATTTTTCTAGAGCAAACATAGTATTGTTATCAACAAATACAGTTTCAAAAAAGCCTATCTGTCATCATGTTTGTATGTCATATATAAATATTATGATATTTTGTAGTTATATCTGCACTCAGGTGTAAATATCGTGATCTATAGTATCATATCAGCAACATCAACGGTTCATGACAGTATACTGCTGCACTATGAGCCTCCCTAGAGGGCTTGCCATAATTTCCGCAGGCAGGCGGGTTAAACACGCCCGGATCGGGGCTTCGGCTCCACGTGCAGGAGAAAGAACGGGGTGGTTTTTAGTCAGTAAGAGTCTGACACTCCCTCCCGCCTCACCCAGGCGGGAGCAGTCATTCGATGATTATCCCCCCTTAAAAAATTTTATGGCATAGGCCGGTAAACGTTCAGACGGATCACCTCATGGTTAGCAATCGGCACCGCCCATGGACACCTGGAACACCAGAGGTGTGTTACAAGTGCGTTACCGGCCTTTTGGGGATTAGGAGTTTGAGGACCGTTGGAGATTCAGGGATTGAGGAGATTGGGGAAGGGGAGGGTAATTGGGCCTCCGGTAACCTCACTCACACGGCGAAACACAAGCAAGTGTTGCTTCATGTCGGTTTTCTGCTCATTGGTGGTATCACTCCGGTTGAGCCGGCCCATTCGTGCCGAAGCATGGCTCTAACTTAAGATAAAAGGCACATAAAAAGCGTGATATTATTTTAGTGAGATGTAAGATACATAAAATGACGCGAGTGGGGAAACACATAATACAGTTTTTATGTTTACAAGTTGTATAAACATAATTAGGAACTTGTCTTTCTTGTTTATTAAAACTTAATTTCTTGTGTCTGTGATGTAGAAAACTGGAATTTTAGATGAGATCATAATTTTTAGCTCACATTACATTAACATAGGACTTATCATTCTCAAAATCGATGTCACTGTTATTTGCAAGGATATAAAAGGGGTCGTCCATAAACTACGTGAGATGTTTTTTTAATTGTCTGTCCCTCCCTCCCCCCTTGGTGAGATTTTATTCAACACCCTCCTCATCCCCCAAACTCACATGAGATTTTTCAAAATGTTGGTTTTTCACGTTGGATTGTTATTGCAAAAAAAAAATCCATGTGCATGTACAATTAAATCTTAAGCATGTACAATCTGGAATAAATGAACTATGAAGTCGGTAAAAATAGTATATATTTTTTTGTTTCTATCAGAATAAAAATTACGTGATATGTGCCGAGACCCCCCTCTCTCCAACGTAAGATTAGATGAGATTTGAGTCTACCCCCTCCCCCCTTAAACATCTCACGTAATTTATGAATGCCCCCTTATTATGTATGGGTATTCAAAGCGGAGCACATGATGGGATGACAATATCCTGCATGTGGCTAGAGTATGCTGGCTAGATACAGCAAGAGATCGAGAAAGATGGCATGCTTTGGAGGAGGCCTTCGCCTCAGGGGTTACTAACTTAATATAAAATAATATTTTCTTTAGAAATGTACATTTCTTTTACATTGGGAAGGTTTTTAAGGCTTTTATTTTATTTATTTTATTATTCAAAGCAGAATAATGACTATTGGGCCTGGACTAGTCTCTTTCAACCTAAAGCATGGCTTGAATCTAGTTGAGTTCCTCGTCAAACAGTTAAGTACATGAGTAAGCCAAAAACATAATAATTAATGATGGTTTATTGTTGAAGAAAATCTATTTTAGAAAACAACTGTAAATAGCGAGACCTGCTTTACTTTAGTAATTGCTATCACAATATCATAATAATTTTATTATCAGATTACCTACAATACTTAAGATAGTAATTCTAATGTCTGTTTAAAACATACATGCATATTATCCTTACTAATATTATAAATGGGAAAGTGAGTTTGTTTGTTTGTTCCACTATCACGCAGTAACTACTCAACCGATTGCTTTGAATTTTTGCAGACGTAAAGTTAGAAGTCCGGATTAAATAATAGGGTACTTTTTATCCCGGAAAAAATTGATATTCCCGAGGAAAAACAAAAGTATTGGTATAGATGGCGCTGTGTGTATTGATATATGTCACATAGGCTACTTTTTATTCTTTTGTGACGCGAGCGAAGCCACGGGTAAAAGCTAGTAACATACATAAACTCAAGCCTTTGTCCAATAGGTTTGGTAGGTCCCTTGTCCAACACGACACTACTTACAGTGACAAATGGTGAAAGAAAATATTGTGAGAAAACCTGGGCGATTTCAAACTTATCTAATCACCAACCCGTATTGAGCAAGTGTGGTGATTAATGCTCAAAACTTCTCCGTGTGAGAATAGGCCTTTGATCATCAGTGGGCACTTATAGGCTGTTTGTGATATGAAGAAACAACAGATTGCTATGATCTTCACATCCATCTTTAGCTTACATCACATTCATACAATTCTAACTAGAATCTCTAATAATCTAATTAGAATAAATAATATATTTTTTTCTAAAACTTATGTTTAAGATAAATCCTATCTAGATCAAAAAAAAAAAAATAGAATTTCGGATTATTTCCAAACTCATATTTTTAGGTTTATTAGTGTTTTTTAAGGTTTTATATGGCACTGAGATTTAATAGTAATAGTAAGAAACTGTGTTCTTATAAGGGCAATGTAGGGTTGTAATGCATGAGTAGAGGTTTAACTATAAATATACTTACAGAAAAACAATAAAATATTCACAAATAATTAAACTGGGCCCAGCAACTAACTGCACTAAGAATATCGACCATAAACAAACAGACTAAAAATATCTGACACAGGAATCCTATTATTGAGCCTCTTGGCTTGCATGACCTAGCTTTTATATATTTTATATTTTCGTGTACATAGAAAGTGAAATGTGCTCGGGGGTGGTAAAGGGAGGCCTGACGTCACTGCGCGCGCATGTGACCCCAGCCTGACTGACCTACATTTTAGACTCGCCTTGCGACACCATTCTGTAAAATGTCAACACAGCTCGCCCTCAACGAAATACCGCAGACATTGACTAACACAACCGATATACAACCTACATACAGCCTCCACATCACCGCAATCACAATAAAAAACATATTTCATGACCCATTTCCTTACGATTCAGGACCTAACTTTGTTCTCGACAAAATACACAATAATCAATACGTTCCCACTTACAACTTATAAATAAAAATGTATGCACAATGTACCCACCAGCAACTAAACACATCACAGCACCTTCTTCAGATTAATTCACGTTTTCACACAAACATTTTGATTTTATTCTGTTCTGGACGCCATTAGACAACATACGACGAACAACTTGTTAGGCACAATTTCACAGCTTACGCAGCGTCCATCGCGGTGTAGGGCGCTACCGAAACACTTATCACTATCGACTTATAATTATTTTACACAAATAAGTCACGGATCAAGCTCGTTGTGTGTGAAAAATGTTAAAACGGGATCGGGCGCAATCCGCTACGCCACCCCGTTCCACTGCAATTTTGTCACTGTTGCCAACTGACAGGAACATAAATAAATACATCACATACCAACTGTATTTTACGCAATCCTATTGGCCAATAAAACTAGGAATATGCTGATAGGTCTAAATGCTGACATGTATACATTTTTAACCAATCACACGTATTCGTGAAGGAAATCTCTACTCTTTCACTAGGATTGCTTTACCAAAAAAAACTGTATTATGATAAGATGAGAGATTCCTTTTACGTTCGGATACATTAAACGGGATTAATAAAAACTTCAAGGAATATTAAATACTGTTTTAGTGTCAGTGGACCTTCCCCGACTTTACCCGCTCTGTGTTCGTATTGAAATAGTTAAAAGTTAAACTCAATTATACTATAAAATAACTTTCTATATTGGTACATTCGATACGACGATACTATTCTTCTCTTATTATAAGGACAGAAGAAATTGCTATCTTTGAAAACTATATTGGTTTGAGTGCTACGAAGGCGAACTTAGCAAATTGTTCATTAAAAAGGACAATAGCGCAAATTCTATCTATGCTCGTTTCCAAAACGGAGCATAGAGGACTTGAGGGGCCACCAAAGTTGCAGGATAGCCCCTGCGATAGAATGTGTATCTGGCACTCTGCCTTGTGTCCGTGTGTAAGAAGAAGGTACACCAAGGGGGTTTTTAGCCTATAACCATTTTAAACATAGAGTAGAGTAGAATTAACTTTACTCAGTGACAAGAAGTTTGATATTAAGTTATCAGTCTTCTCCATTTGGTATCTTTCCGCCTAACTGAAGGTAAATATCATCGTGCATCACTGTTCAGTCTCTATATATTTTGTAACACAAAAATAACTACATAAAATGCTCCATTGCAACGTAAAAATGTTAACAAAATAACTTTTACAAAAGTATGGATTTTTAGTAACATTTCATGTCAATGTCCTTATTTTGATCGCGTATCCGATCGTCTCAAACAAACATATTATTATTACAACTGACAGGTATGTTTTCAACGAGATCGATTGATTTTTTTCATTGCAGCGGCTGCATTTTGAATCAATAAAAAGTGTGAAAATCATCGCCATATACATAAATCGTGAAGTGACTATACTTTGTGAAATATAACTTGAATAAAAATATCCATTTGGTGACTTAAAACAGTGTTTGAAGAACAACAAGTGACCAAAAGCAACAAACGAGGTGGTTTTTAATTTTTGAAAGCTCTGGTAAGCACTTAGTACTAAGCTTTCGATGATAGAGCCTTAATTTTTTTAATTTTGTCTTTGTATTGTCTGTAAATTGCGGAGTTTCTTCGGCGTAATTTTACCCGCCTTTTTTTATCTTTATCGCCAATCAGCTGATAAGCCAGCAAAGAAAGATAGCGATATATTTTGCAATATTTAAATATCTACGTTAAAATGCATTTTAAAAGCATACTTTAAGCAAGTCATGTGATAAAATCGTTGATTTTTGCCAAAAAACCTCCTTATCCATCATTATTTAAGATTTATTGACAAATAATCTTTAAAGATCATGTTATTATAACTATAACAAACTGCATGTCTTAACTTGTTCCCTGGACAGTCAGCACTTTATGAAAATTGTGAAACATAAATATAAAAGTCTATAAAAGTATTAAGTTATCTCTATATACCAACTTGCTTCTCAGTCATAACTTTGTTTTAGGCTTACGATCAAACTTTATATTCCCTAAAGGTATAGGCAAAAGTTCTATTTTTAAAAAAAATTTGCCCCACACTAGGATTTTCTCCTGTGTCATGGGTGCGTTCACAAGCATACAAGTTCACATACACATAATGATGCCCAGACCCGTAACAACAATTTGTAGATCACACAAAAAGTTGCTCCATGCGGAAATCGAACTCGCACCCATGATACAGGAGAAAATCCTAGTGTGGGACAATGGTTTCTTAAAACAAAGCCTATACATAGGTACTATAGCGATAATGTAAAATTAATGGTAGAGGCGAGATACTGGTCAAACGTCGGCCCATCATAGGATTGTTGTACATCAATTAATTAACAAATTTTGAAAGCAACTATTCCACTATAGTATCATATAATACTTTAGTACATTTCATTACAGATGCACTGACAATGAGTAGTCCCGCATTAGAGGACACTGACCCTCCCAGTCCGGAGCCAGTTGCCCCTTCCAGTCCGGAGCCAGTTGCCCCTTCCAGTCCGGAGCCAGTTGCCCCTTCCAGTCCGGAACCAGTTGCCCGACCCCCCAGCCAAGCTTCCGACAGACCCTGGCCTCTGTTCGATGATGACGAGGACGCTCCTTTCATACCACAACCGAACATAAGAGAGTTCAATGCCATCGTAACAAGAGCTCGGCACCACTTACGACACCCTGTGGAACAGAGCGAGGACAGTAATACAGCTTCCTCAGTCAGCGAGGAGTCCAACCACTCCCTACCAGCTCTAGCGTGGAATAACAATGACCAAGTTGAACCGGAGGAACCACCAGCTAAAGTGAGAAAACTACACAGTCCACACGAAGAGATTGATGGAGAAACATGCCCAATTTGTTTAGATATATGGGGTAACTCTGGCGCACACAGACTAGTTGCTTTAAAGTGTGGACATCTCTTCGGAGCTGAGTGTGTAGAGAGATGGCTCAAGGCACAGCCCGCTAAGGACAAAACCTGCCCAACATGCAAAAGTAAAGCGTCGCTCAAAGACCTAAGGTTCATTTACGCAAGGAAGCTCATAGCCGCTGACACAACACAGATCACTAGCTTGCAGAAACAGGTGGATATACTCCAAACTGAGAAGAGCAGGACAGAATTGGAACTGCAGAAGACTAAAATAGCCCATCGCGCCTGTGCAGCAGAATTAGAGACTTTGAAGAACTCTTTACTGAAGTCTCAAAGTATGAAAGAACTTATTAGTAAACGCACTTGGCGATATGCTCTTGAAAAGAACTTGGAGGTATGCAAGGATGGCGGCTGTAGAGTTCTTACGTATAACTGTCGGACTTACGAGCTGTACGTGTCACAGAAGAGTATCAACTACCTGTTCCCTGGGTATGGAATCAGGAAGGTTAATTGCCTGGATTATTCTTTAGGGCAGTTTGTGCATTTACATCCTAAACCTATTAGGGATATGTCGTATTCTCAGCCGAGAGATTTACTTCTCAGCGTAGGCTTGGATAGTACTGCGCGGATTGTTGACAGAGGCATTCCTAGTGCGACGGTAAACACAGGATTCCCATTATGGTCGTGTGCGTGGGACTGTTCAAACACAAGCGAGTTCTACGTGGGTGGTGTGGGCGGGATAGTCAACTTGTACGACTTCAGAAATATGTCGTCCTGCCTCGGCACCATAGCGTCTAATAAGGACATGTCGCCCGTAGTGTCTCTATGTTCTACTCCATACGGCCTATTATCGTGCCAACTAAACAAGTGTTGGCTCTGTATACCACGAGACGGGATTTGGAAACAGAAGGCGATGCCTGTCGAAGGATCGTTCATGTCTATGAGTTATGATAACGAGACGCAAAGAGCCTTAGTTTCAGTACGACCGAGCGCGTTAGGCACAGAGCGATCCAAACTAGTAGTTTGCAAATTTTCTGAAGGATTGACTGATAAAGTTATGATCGATGTGGAGGAGACGTTTAGTGGGTCTGCGAGAGCGTCTTTAATGTCAAGGTCTACTTTCTGTAAGGCTCCAGGAGCTTCTTGGGTAGCAGCTCATTCCGAGAGCGAATCAGCACTGTTTTTGCATGGACTAGATGGAGCCAGGACCATGTCCCTCCCAGCTGCAGAACCAGCACTAGACGTATGCTCATTATATCTGAATGGGAACAGTATACTAGCAGCTTTATCAGAATCCCGGTTAAGAATGTACAGAGCTGTCCAGACCAGTGTCTAAAGACTGATGAGTGGAACTTTGGACTTTCATTTGTGCGTGAGCTTTGTGTATCTATGGTATTGACGCTGGACGTAGAATAGTGATTGAGTATACGTTACCATTGCAGTTTTGTTATTAATGCTGAGTGCCGTGAGTTATTTTTATGTAAACGCGGTTTAACCCCCTGATTGGTCAGTTAACTTGGGGTTGCCCAATTGGGTACTATCCTTAATCAAAAATAAATTATTTCGACTGTTCAATACAATAGAATGTTAAAAAATAATCACACTTCCATTAATTGGTTTTATGACCAACTTAATTTAAATATTAAGGAATAAGTATGCTGTTTGACGCTAAAAACCGTGGCAAAATTCATAGAAAACTGTCGTTTTTGACAGTTCGAAAAAAGTATTGATTTTGACTAACTAGTTGGCAAGTACCCAATCAGAGCGCAAAACGTCTTAAACGCGTCGATCGCGTTGACGTAAAACAAACTAGCAAGGCACTCTGAACCTTGTGTTGTTGAGAAATCTGTAGTGTAAATATCAAAGCTGTGAATAATTAAGTTGCACGGCTTACTCATTCCATAAGTCATGGTTCAACAAAGTTAGCTACTTGAAGAGGCTATGAGGTATTATACAGCTGAAGTCTTAGTACGTAGTTTGTTTTATGTTTAAAGTAACGTAACGAGTACTAAGGCCTCTGAACTCTTTAATAAATTATCTTCAGTCCGATTTGGCTACGCTGCCCTTATGACGTCATGTGTCACGCACGTTGCTCATGAGTATCGATCCTAGTACGGCTTGAAATCAGTCTAGCAACCTCGTAGAATAGCTTCGTGAGTAAGCCGAACAGCCTAATTAACTAAAATAGTGTCACGATAGTTTTTAAAACAAAATACTGTGATTTTTTATTCGCTTCAAGCTCAGTAAGTACAATAGTTTTAAAATGTTATGAATTATTTGCATTTCTATAATAATTCTGCCATTTTACATGTGTGCGACTAGTTTTTAATTGAATTGCCTATTATGCAGTTCTTTTTCGTGAAATCTATGATTTCGATCTGATGTATGACATGACGGGATTTTTAAAATGCATGATTGTGACGAAATGTGCGGTGAATGTATCAAGTCAAGTGTAAATATCAATCTTTGTAAATGTATACAAAACCAGTATAAACGGACCTATGAATGGGTAGAAAAGTCATACGAAGCCAGACCATGATCAACTGGTTATGGCTCGTACACAAAACTGCGATGCGACGTCGCATCGCAAAAATGTGCGAGCGCACTTTACGCATCGCTAGAACTTGCGAATTCATTCGCATCGCGCATCAAAATCTTTTGTTTCTTTTTCCTGTATCTCCTAAGCAAATACAGAAGTGCACACTTATTTTTACGTTTGCTACGGTTAACGGTCGTCGAAGGAATGGACACCCTGGGAGACGCCTTGTCGCACGACATCGCATCGCAGCAATTCGTGTCGTAATTCTTCGCGTTGCGAATTCGCATCGCATCGCAGTTTTTTGTACGAGCCCTATGTGTAACTTGATCTGTAGCCCTGTATATTTAAGTTACAAAAGACTATTGTGGAGAGCGAATGAGAATTTAAGAACTTAGCAATGGGATATGTCTTCTGATTGACTCGATTCATAATGACTGACGTAAAAATTAGTATCCTTGAGTACAATGACTGATTGATTCAGCATTTATTGACTGTGTAATGATAAGTAGAACATGAATGCACGTTCGTATTGCGACTTCGTATAATGGGGGCTACAGTTTTTTTTTGCTTATTGGGTGCTGGTGTAGACCTCTTGTCTTTTCGTATAATTGAGAATTAGCCGTTGAATTTTTGACAGCAGATAGTACAAATTGACCTTTTGCTATATTAGCGAATTCTGGTGAGTCAAAAAATGGTATTAATATCTTCATGAAAGACAGGAATCTGAGATAATGAATTAAGATAACATTGTAATTTTTTCCCATCGAAAAGTTCGTCAAGTTCGACGGACTAGCGAAGAGTTCGTCAAGTTCGTCGGACTACCCAAGAGTTCGTGAAGTTGGACGGACTACCCAAGAGTTCGTCGTTAAAAATGAAAGGTTTTTGACATGTTGTTTGTTTATTTATTTTATACAAAAAACTTTTACCTTTAATAATACGATATTAATGTTCTATAATATTCTCAATAACGAATCTTTTGTTTTCATTAAGTTTTCTCATTATAACATTACTTTTAAATTTTATTTGTGTATTTATTTATGTAATGGCCAGCGTATCGACCTTCTCCATTGTGTCGATTTATGTCATTTTCGACTCTATACCTTAACGATAGAGTTGAAAATGTAATAAAAAATTGTCAGTAAAGTCTAGGTTGACTTGCTGCCCGCTGTACCTACTAAAAATCCTGTATTTACACGGGAGAGCTATGCTTCGGCACTGCTGTATCAGCTCGACCGGAGTGATACCACCAACGAGCAGTACACTATAGTGAAACAACACTTGCGTTGTTTCGCTATGTGAGTGAAGTTACCGGAGCCCCCTCTCCCGAAAGAGCAATACCGGCAATGCTTTTGTAACTCCTCTGATAGATATTACGGATCCCTCACCACATGTCCGCATCGAAATATAATAGGGTAGTTTCTTAAATTTTATTTTAATGTCCGTCTGGTAGATTATTTTAAAACATTAGACACGTATTTTTATTTTCTTAAGGAAACGAATAGTTTCCAAGATATTATATTGATTTGAAATGTCGCATGACGTCAAAGCGTGCTACAAAATGTTCCACGTTATGACGTAACTACCTCCCACTCCTAAACTTGACGCCATTTTATTTAAGTATTGTAACTTTATACGAGAAAATAAAAAAAAATACGTGTCTAATATTTTTTCATTATCTAACTGACGGACTTATTAGATTTTGAATTTTCTTACTCTCGATGAAGCATTTTCAATATAATAATAATAATTAATAATAGACTCGAATAAGATAAATGAGCATATTTCAGCTATAATAATGGCGAGATCTCACCATAATTTTGTACCACATACCTACATTATTTCAGTTCAATATTTGACAAATAAATATCTTCTTTCAATGGGGCCAGTGTGTACCTATCGTCCAATAGATAATGCATAGCCCTCTCCATAGCTCGCTGCGCCACCTTAAATTGGTGGACCAGTCGCACTGTCAGTGTCCACGTCCCCGCTCCGTATGTCATTTCTGGAAGGACCGAAGGACGCTCTCGTTGAAGACTTTTGTCTTCAGGCTTTGCGGTATCTGTGACGAGAAGACTTGATTGATTTTCCTATACGCTGTCCAGCCAAGCTGTATCAGTCACACCATTCGACGTTCAATATATGACATCTGCTGTGATTGGACGCAAACACCTTTCTACATTGACGCCTTCTAGTAAGCAGAAAAACGTTAGCCCTCTATTATAAGAACTGCCACAATTTAGTATTTAATATTTACCCAGACATTAGTATATACCTATTGATATTCCATAAAAAACATGCATAATTATAATAATGCAAAATACTTTAATGAATTCCATACTTGTAATAGAAATAAGCAAAGAATACTGAATACTCCTACTAAATACTAAAAGTCACAGTTGCCATTTTACTTTTTACGACGTACAAACTTACGTCTTTGTAATCTGTAAAAACCAGCGCTTGCAATTCTGGTTTAATAATATAGAAGACGTATTAGGTATAGGTATTCAATTTTAATGTCTAACATATCCGATATCCACTGTACATAATTGAATATCCATGTAGACAACTTACAAACTTTTTAGAATGAAAATAATAACACACTTGCTGGCATAATAACTAAAATTGTTTTTGTATGGATTAATACGAATGTACAAACAAGGTTTTTATTTATAATTTGAATCTTTTTTATATGTTGTTTTAATTTTATGTAATTTATTTTTAATTTTATTTTGAAACATTATGTGTGCCTTGGGTTGGTGTGTTATTAAAAAATGGTTTTTTTATTAAAAATTCGGTGGTTCCCGCTAAAATAAAATGTTCTAAATTCAAATTATAGGCACTTGATTGGCCAATAATCTTTTTTAAGAGGCAAAGGAACCAAACATGTGCCAACATCTGCCTAATAAGTTTTTATTTGTTATTAATATTTTTTTGTAGTTTAGTTTATTTTTATGAGAATAAAATACCATACCCACCAAATGCGACGTAACTGGATGTTGGTTTCGTTTGAATGGAGGGAAAAATCTTGTTTTTTTTTTATGTAACATTTTAAATATGTAATCTATTGTTGGAATAAAATGGTGATGTATCGGCCTCAAGCTTTACCTCGGCTGTGGCAATGCCGCACACTCTAACTATAGTATTGTTTTATTATGTCGGGTATTATTTTAAATAATTATGACTGATGTAATCTAAGTCTTAGTTGTTATTTAATAATCTTGATGTGATAAATAAAAGAATTGAAAAATTCTTGAGTTTTCGTCGTTATTTTTTACCTCTACAGAACACATTAATAGTTATTTTTGAAGGAATGCAAACATAAGCTATGTAATACAATTATTCGTAAGTATGAAAGGAGGTTCTCATGATTGGAAATTAGTCAAATAGTCAAAATAGAGTTCGGATAATAATTGTACCTATTTCGAGAAACAACAATCACTGTAATTAATGAATAGACACAAAGTTACAATTATGAGTATGGTACAGCGGTTAGAACTTAATATTACACATGTGTAATATTAAGGCGCGTAAGCGGCAGTCTCACGACGCGAGCGCCGCGGTCTCCAGGGTTGCGAGAGAAAGAACCGCTAAGGTGTGTCTATCTTATTTACTCATTCCTAGTTATTGTTCCGAGTACTCAACATATCTTACGACCGCGCGACGCCCTCATTGGTCGCGATGTATTCTGTGTTACTACATAAGTTACTATAAATCCCTTGAAATAAGAGCGAGGCAGGCAGCCAAGCAAGAAGTGGATTTAAAAACTGTGACCTTGATCGTTGTTTAAGGATTTGTACCTAAATGTGAATCGAATTGACTTATGAAATCGAGACGTCGTCTAGGTATCAATCCGATATCTCATCAGCGGGAGTCGCACTTTTAACTACCCACTCTAGCACCGTAGCACTAGCAGCCAGTAGTTGCTGTAATAATGTTTCTTTTTAAATTATTGCGGTTTATAAATACGTACAGCAACAACAAATTTCATTAAGTGACCTTGCTTTTTGGATTTTCCCGCAGAAACGGCCAGCTAGTTTCACATAATTATTCACAACAACAACAGTAATTCAATAAACAGGCAACATTAAACGGAACTGTCAATGTCAAAAGCAGTTCCTTTGTTTGACTTTGACAATTCACATTGTCAATTTTTTGTGAATACATAGCGGTGCCTGTGCTGAAATTCACAAAAAATTGTTTTAAAATTACTTAAATTGACAATAATTAACACCAAAACTGTGGCTATATAAAATTTATCTCAGTCCCTATATAGTGCAACGTCATTTTACCGCGGGAAAAGGTAAGTGTCTTTGTTTTTGTTGAATCAATAAACATGTGAGTGACTGACTTGCGTGAGGTCATCGGCATAGCAATTTTAGTTTACATGTTGAGGATGAAGTGAATCTTGTATTACTGGTTAGATAGAAATTTTAAATTGATATACGAACTCTTTTATTAGCAGGTTTAGGCGGGAAAGTTTTAATAAAGTTAGTACCTATTAAGTTTTTGATATCTTAAAGAATAATGAGGAACGCCTACATTTCACCTTGATCTGAACGTATTCTAATAAGTTAAGTGATTCATATTTAATTTATTGGAATTTATAATCTTCTTACCATAATTTCGTAAAATCCAATTCATCATTTAATAATTTGTTTACAACTTGTATTATGTTTGTATGTGGTTAAAAATAATACTGTAGGTAGTAATTTTAACATACAAAGTAACAAGCTTGTTATTATTAAAACAATTATTTAATTTGGGTAATATATTCTTATACAAAAAACTCATTAGAGTGAAATTCATTAAATTTTAGTACATAAATTATTATCAAATTAGGATTAACTATTGTATTCCAGTTAATTGAATAAATAAACTAACCAATGATGAACTTGAAGAAGTAAAACTAAGTAAAAATTAAATTTTTACACCATAAAAAAAACAAAAGAACTAGCTGTTACCCACAACTTTGTCAGCTTAGAACATGAATTTTACAATATAGGTAGCTATTTCTGTGTTTCAATTTTTCAAAATAAAACAAGCCTATGTTACTCCTTAATAAATGAGCTACCTGCAATAAAATTCTTGCAAAATCAGTCCAGCCATTCTACAGATTAGCAAGTACAAACGGACACACAAACAGATAGAAACTGAAAAAAGGAATGTTATTTTGGCATGTGTATGTATTCACTAGCTACTTTCGCGCGGTTTCACACGCTCTGCTCAGCTCCTATTGGTCGTAGCGTGATGTTTTATAGCCTATAGCCATTCTCGATAAATGCGCTATCCAACACAAAAAGTGTTATAAAAATCAGACTTGTAGTTACGGAGATTAGCGCGTTTAAACAAACAAACAAATGAAAAAAATCAAATTCTTTCACTTTATTTAATAGTATAAGATATGCATGTTGTAAAAAGCAGTTATTCACCTATTTTAGTAATGCATAAGTAACAGAAAAACTTACTAATATTATTATTTTACAATAATTTCCAGCAGTAGCGACCTTCAACCATGGACCAGTTACTGCATCAGGTTGCCTCCAACATGGAGAAGCAGCTGGATAATGAGATTGAGAGGTATATCATATTTTTATTCTATAACAAAGAGAGAGTACTATAGATTGCACACATTTCAAGTGTTCAATAGTGCGGGAGAGCCATGCTTTGGCATAAATGAGTTGGCTCGACGGGAATGATACCACCAATGAGCAGAATACTATAGTGTAACAATACTTGCATTGTGTTTCGTCGTGTGAGTGAGGTTATTAGAGGCCCAATTAATCTTCTCAATCCCTGAATCCCCAATCCTAAACTTTGGCTTTCTATATGTGTTCAATCCACCCATCCAGGCATCCACCCATAAATTCCTAATCCCCAAAGAGCCGGTAATGCACTTGTAATGTCTCGTGTTCCGGATGTCTATGGACGACGTCAATTGCTTACCATTAGGTGACTCATTTACCAGCTTGTTCACATACACATCACACCCAGGTTCGAAAGGCAATTGTTCGTGAGAATTGATCCAATAACTTGTTGTACAGCTGCCAGTCGCCCAGCTTCTGAGCCAACCATACTTATAGAGCTTACAGACTACTGACACTGCCATTAACTCGTCGAGTACCGGTTTTATAGACACAATTAAAGAACAATAGGTCGCGGTCACCGGTGACCGCTTGGTGTTTGACAGTTTAATATACTTACACTTATGAAAAAATGATGACATTTCGATATTTGTTTATTACTTGCCAATATTTCACCATGACTGCCTCGTTGGCCGAGCGGGCGCAAGTGCGACTGCCGGGCAAGGGGTCTCGGGTTCGATTCCCGGGTCGGGCGAAGTATAACTAGGTTTTTAAAAAAAATTCTCAGTAGTAGCACGGAGTCTGAAATTGTGCCCGGCATATGGCAATAGGCTCATCCCCTAATACATGGGACTCGTAACATAAATATTGAAAAGTGGGTGTTACATTGTACAGTGGCATAATGTGCCCCTCTGCCTACCCCTTCGGGGATAAAAGGCGTGATGTTATGTTATTTCACCATAATTATGTGTTGATGATTCCAGGCTGGAGACGATGGATTCCAGTGACCTGGAAGCTATCAGACAGCAGAGGATCGCAGAGATGAAGAAACGCGCCAAGGCCAAGCAGGAGTGGGTAGCTAATGTAAGTAACATTTTACGATATGATATGCAACAAAACACGGGAAAGACGCTTGATTACTCGGAAATATTGCTAAAATTAAAAAATGTTTGCTATGATCATTGGAAGGAATATTTTGACAGAACTTCATTAGAAAAAGGAGTCTGGTATAAAACCATTCAATGTCATCCTCCCCGTGTGCCCTGGTTTATAAATAAAAAAATATGTAGAAAATTAGTGGTAACAGCTCATAGACTCAGATCTGGACACATTCCATGCAAGAAATTCGTGTTTATGATGAAAAAAATACGTCGCCCAACTGTGAGGTGTGTGGAGTTGTTGAGGACATGCATCACTTGTAGATGGAATGTGCTCGATATGAGACTGATAGGAATAAGTTGCTCAGGGACTTGAAGCTGAACAAAAACAATATAGGTTTACATTCCATAAAATATTAAATGAGCCGAGTACTGATAATGTGAGAATGTTGTTCAACTTCATGGCTCTGATTCATTGATCTCTAGTTGATTTATACCTTATTAGGTTACGATGAGACTGACATACGATGTGCGGTATAAAAGTCCCTAAAATTAAAAAGGAATAAAAAAAAAAGATTTTTTTTTTCCTTTGGCAACCGAGTCTCCTACGATATTATTATTATAATAAATCTTTTTTGAGACATACTTTTTTATGAAATAAGCCGGTAAACGAGCAGACGGTTCACCTGATGGTAAGCAATCGGCGTCGCCCAGGGACACCCGGAACACCAGAGGCGTTACAAATGGGTTACCGGCCTTTTGGGGATTGGGAATTCGAAGATTATTGGGGAGGGGGCGTAATTGGGCCTCCGGTAACCTCACTCACACGACGAATCACAACGCAATCGTTTTTGCACCCTCTGTCGGTGGCAGACATTATAAACTATTAAATTAAATAAAACGACTTGTGCTGGTTGCGATACGAATAGAAAAAGGCACGGATTTAAACAATAGGGTAGACGACTAATTTTTATTTTAATGTCCGTCTGGTAGATTATTTAAAAACATTAGACACGTATTTTTTATTTTCTCACAGAAACGAATAGTTTCGAAGATATATTGATTTGAAATGTCGCGTGACGTCACTTCTCAGTACATTTTATACTAAGGAATGACGTTTTACCCCCAACTCCTAAACTTTGATTCGTTTTATCTAAGTATTGTTTTATTATACGACAAAATAAAAAAATACGTGTCTAATATTTTTTCATTACCTAACTTACGGACTAATTATATTTTTAATTTTCATACCCTGTCATCATCCCCATTGAATCAACAATGAACATCACTACATAGTATAAAACAAAGTCGCTTTCTCTGTCCCTATGTCCCTTTGTATGCTTAAATCTTTGAAACTACGCAACGGATTTTGATACGATTTTTTTAATAGATAGAGTGATTCTTAAGAAAGGTTTATATGTATAATACATGCATAATATAGTAAAAAAACACTGATAAATTTAGAGGTTTCTAATGTGATGTCGTAAATCAGCACGTTTTTATTGCGCTTATATTGCAAACGCTGGCTGTACCCTTCGAGATAGACCAAAATAATGTACTACAATATTGACCACCTTAGAAAGTTCAACAAAAAAGTCCGCGAAGGTATATGTCTATCTATTAGGGATAACCCACCATAACCATTTTTTATCCTTTACTATCAATGGTTATTTACGAAGTGATTTTACACAATACAAAATAGCTGTGAACGTGGTGTTTATGGACATTTTGTAGTAGGTATTTTTACATAAGTATTGCACCCGTGTGAAGCCGGGGCGGGTCGCTAGTAATCAATATAGTACATTCACAAAAAAGTAAAACAGAAGAAAGTTACATCAGTTACTCAATAGATGGCATAGGTGGTTTAATTTCATGTATATTTTAAACAACATAAACTTAATAAATTATTATGTTTTCGGCTTACTCACGTAGTAATTCGACGAGGAACTCGACTAGCCATGCTAGAGGCTCGTATTCATGAGCAGCATTTCGCGTGATTCACGCGCACTTTCTTCCATTCGTGGTATTGGCGACAGCGCGACAGTCGCCACGTCGTGGGTCGCGAAATGCTGCTCATGAATACGAGCCTCTAGCATGGCATGAAACTAGTCGAGTTCCTCGTCGAATTACTACGTGAGTAAGTAGAAAATATAATAATTTATTTGGTACTAGCTTTTACCCGCGGCTTCGCTCGCGTCACAAAAGGCTAAAAAGTAGCCTATGTGACATATACCAATACCCACAGCGCCATCTATACCAATACCTTTGTTTTCCCTCGGGAATATCAAATTTTTCCGGGATAAAAAGTACCCTATTATTTAATCCAGACTTCTAACTTTACGTCTGCAAAATTTCAAAGCAATCGGTCTAGTAGTTACGGCGTGAAGGCGGAACAAACAAACAAACAAACAAACTCACTTTCCGATTTATAATATTAGTAAGGATGTCTCACGAAAGTTACAATACAAACATAAACTTACCCCCCTTCTTCCACAGGGCCATGGGGAGTACACAGAAATAGACGGCGAGAAAGAGTTCTTCACAGTGTGCAACAAGAGTGAGCATGTGGTCTGTCACTTCTACAAGAGCGACACTCCTCGCTGCAAGATCGTGGACATGCATCTCAAAGTACTGGCCAAGAAACATGTTGAGACGCGGTTCGTCAAGCTGGACGTTGAGAGGGCTCCGTTTTTGACTGGTTAGTGAATTATACTCATTGTTCAAAATAAAACATCAGCATTTTATCCCCGAAGGGGTAGGCAGAGCTGCATTTTTCGGCACTTAATGCCACTGTACAATGTAACACCCACTTTTCACTATTTATGTTATGAGTCCTGTTCGTTGCGCTATCAACATTTTATTATAAAATAAATTTATAATTAACACGAGTTGTCCCAGCGCTCGATAGATGGCGAATCGAATCAAAGTGTTAAGCGAGTTAAGCGTTCTGATTGGTTGGTTCACTTGAGCCGGCCAATCAGAGCGCCGAACGCGCTCGATACTATTACGTTCGAATGCGATAGTTATTCGTGCTTGGCACTCAGATGGCACTATGGTTGCGTTACCGGGATTTATATAGGGTACGGGGAAATGTTTACTACGGTGTGAGCAGCAAGCATAGTTATTGATATTATACGCGATTAATATTTCAATACAGTGTATTAATTTATCCACCCTCTCCAAGTCGACCATCGTTCAGTCCCATGTGATAGGGGTGAGCCTATTGCCGTATGCCGGGGACATTTCCAGATTCCATGTTATTGACATTTTTTTATAAGCACCCAATAACATTTTCCCCGACCTGGGAGTCAAACCCGATACCCCTTGCCCGGCAGTCGAACTTGCTCGCATTCGGCCATTCAAAATTTTATTATTTATTTCGATTATTAGACCAATTTATAGCACTTTTGAACGTCAAACAAAATAAATAGTGTCAGTCTGTCAGTCAGTTCTCTAGTTGGTCTATTTGCTTGTGCCAAAGTGTAGGTCCCTATGGAGAAGAACGAGCAAGAAACTCTTATAAAATATATTCTATGTAGGTATTGGTAACCCTAGGATCCAATATGGTGAGAATAAATATTTACCACCGCTTCTCTTCCCGCGGGTGTCATATACTCGAAAAGATCTGATAGAGACCAGGCACCGAGCTTACCATGATATAATATTTCCATCTCTTTCCAGGTCGTCTGAAGATCCGTGTGATCCCCACGATAGGGCTGGTGAAGGACAACAAGACTAAAGACTTCATAGTCGGGTTCACTGACCTCGGGAACAGAGACGACTTCTCCACTGAGATGCTGGAGTGGAGGATAGCTAGGTAAATACATATATACTTGATTTATTTATTTATTTACAAAGGAAATTACGTGGGATGTGTGGGAGAGCCATGCTTCGGCACTGCTGGGCCGGTCGACCGGAGTGATACCACCAACGAGCTGTAAACCACAGTGAATCAACGCTTGCGTTGTGTTTCGTCGTGTGAGTGAGGTTACCGGAGGCCCAATTACCCTCCCTTCCCTCCCTCCCTTCCCCAGTCTCCCCAAGCCCCAAATCCCCGCCAATCCTGTATTACTGGGTTTTTAAATAGTCTCAGTAGTAGCACGGAGTCTGGAATTGTGCCCGGTATAAGGCTCACCCCCTATTACATGGGACTCATAATATAAATAGTGAAAAGTGGGTGTTACATTGTACAGTGGCATAAAGTGCACCTCTACCTACACATTCGGGGATAAAAGGCGAGCGTGTGGCGTTCTCCGTGCAGAAATCGAACCCGCGATACGTTGCGTGGCAGCCATTTGCCCAGCCACCACATTATTTTTTACACACATGAAAATATTCATTTTTAAGTACATTGTGCAAGATTTCTAACCAAAAGTCCTTTAAATTCCAGATCAGACATAATAGAATACTCAGGCGACCTCCTCGTCCCTCCGGAGGAAGCTCGCAAGGCGCGAAAACTGCAGATACAAAACAAAAAGACTATCAGAGGTACTCCGGACTCCGACTCAGATTTAGAACTCAGCGATTAACAATCCATAGTCCACTAGTTATCTTGTAAATTAACAATAGATATTAACTATATATTATTTAAATGGATTCCTAAATTATGCTTGTTTAATGTCATCAGCCTCTAAATGCCCACTGCTGACCAAAGGCCTAAATGTTTGGGCATCAATCACATTTCAAACATATAATTTCAAACATATAAGTCCAGTGCCTTTAGCCAAACGCCACTTTAGCGCTTGTCTACAGAGAGAGTAGAAAACTAAATGTATGGGGATGACACTAACAAGTGTCAAAATTTACGTCAATTTCATATAATTTGGTTTTCAATTCTACATGTAGACAAGCGTTAAATGGAATTTGGCTACAGCTGCAGGGTTCCTCACGAAGTTTTACTGATAATGTTGGCAATTAAATACACTGGTTTGTGTTGCCATCATAACAAAAAAATTAAATACAATGTGTATAAATCTCAATCTTTACGTATTAGTTTAAAATTACTGCACAAAATTATGTTTTAACAAGCAAAACATTCCTTTTGCATACTTTTTAAAAATCCTGGTAAAAATACAGCTTTTTATAAAAAAAAATGTCCTGTGTGAACGGTGCTAAGCGATTGTACAACTTATTGTCCATAGAATAGAGTACATATTTCTTTGAGCGTATTTGTGTAGTGTGACCAGACTCCGTAACGGTAGTTTGGTAGTTTTCGCTAGTTTGTGTTCGGGTTATTATATTTGTGTGTTAAACGTTTAATGTACAATACAATGCATTATTATTAAAATATTTTGAATAAACACCTTTTTTAACAATCTTTTGTTTCATTTTCATCTTTATCATTCTTATAAAGTTGGTATTTTTACTCCTGTCATTGTCAATAGAAGACGACTGTACTAAAAGATCTACTTGGAACTTCTCTGATGTTCAGGTACAGGAGTAGAATTAATTGCTTACTATTACTCTATTAAATAATTTATTTCCAGGTTGTATATACAAACAAAATAATAGTATAATCATCTGCTGGTTAGCCTTCTATAGTTCTATCAGATATAAACCTCCACTACTATTTATATTTCAGTCAAATCAAGTTAAGGTAAGCCCGAATACTGAAAGGCTACTCAATTTTTAAGTTGCATTTAAATTCCGTGCCATCTTTGTCATTTTACAAATTATTCGTAGATTCAGAATTATACTTAAGCGAGACTTATAATTGAGTAGCAATTTATCATTCGGGCGTATAGGTACTAAAAATAATTACAGGCTTGTTTTGATATACTCATTCCTCTTCATTACTTTGTTTTTTGATAGAACTTTCATTCTCGCGCTACAGTTTGACACTACCGATATACCATAATATTATATTAATTTACCTATCTATATTAAATGTTTTAAGTGCTCCGAGTCCTAATAGAATTTCATTAAATCTATATACCAAGAACGAGCTCAATTTAGCTGCGGCGCGCCACTCAACGTTTAATAATTTAAAACAGTAGCATTTTATACCTCGGTCTTGTAGCCCTATTCTCATCTATCAAAGTGATAAGTGTCATTCTGTTTCATGCAAAGTTGTGACAAGTGACAGCTGATTGACTGTGAGATCGAGTTGTGAAGTGCGAAGTGTTACGCAGTGTTTTTCAGTATTTTCTTTTTGAATGAAAATTATTGACTAAACAGCGAACTAATTTGGTGTCGAATCTTCTAACATTACACTAGAAACCGCGACCTAGACCTTCTTAAAGTGTGCTTTTGAGTGATTACAAGAAAAAAAGTTGTTTTGTTACGCAAAAAATTCTATGGTGTGTGCAAATAAAAATATTAGGTAAGTTTTTCGTGTGGCGCCGCTAGGAATACTTACTATGAGTCTATTTTTAGGTCACCGATGTCGTTTAACGCTCTTTAGCCCCCAAAATAATAGTTTCAAGGTTAAAATTTAGACTTTGAACCATCGAGTTCGTAATCAAAACAATTTTTTTAAAGTACGTATCATTGTCTGCCTTTGCAGTGCATAAAGTTTGTAAACATTAAAAATAAAAACAGGTTATTTATTATTCACGTAATGACCGAATTTCGTTTCGTAAATTAGACGATTAGTTTTTCGCGTGTTTTGTCACGAAAAAGATAAAAAAATAATGTTTCTATTTGAGGATCTTATTAGGTGGACTTTGATAATGAATTATATCAACGTTTTTTGCTCCATCATCGCCATCTAGAACTCATTTCTATGATAACAAAACTCGAGTTTAAAAACTTATCATTTTTGTTTTATTTTACTACTTTATCTTTTATTTAACCTTTATTGTTGGATAACAAAATTTACGACATTATTTAGTCTAACATTTTTGAAGGTTATCAAAACAATTTGATAACTATAAGTATTCAATTAAACCTGCCATAAAAGTTATGTTTATGAATTTTATATGGCGGAGTACTCCCATCCTTACTAGTCGATGGAGAACCTAACGGGTAACCGGGGCTCCAGCTCAACGTATAGGAGTAGGAACGGGGTGGTTTTTAGTCAGTAAGAGTCTGACACTCCCTGCCGCCTCACCCAGGCGGGAGCAGTCATTCGATTATTTCCCCCCTCTTAACCCTTTGAGTACCGTCATTATAGAAACAATTAAAGAACAAAATTATAGTTAAGCACATCAGGAAATTTTTCACCAACCATCAAGTCATTCCACAACAGCAGCATGGTTTTTGCCCGCATCGTTCTACAGTTTCTAACTTGCTGTCGAGCCTGTCATCATGGACAAAGAAGTTCAATGAAAAAAAACCTATAGACGTAATCTACTTAGACTATGAAAAAGCCTTTGATAAAGTTCCCACAGGTAGGCTGCTACAGAAATTAGAATTCGTGGGAATACGCGGAAAACTACTGAGCTGGATCGAATCCTTTTTGCGGCAAAGAACTTTACGAGTAAGAGTCGGTGAGACGTTATCAGAACATCGAGAAGTGCATAGCGGAGTGCCCCAAGGGTCTGTATTGGGCCCAGTGTTGTATATAATATACACATTTGACCTTCCCAGTTGCCTGAGATGTGAAGTCAGCATATTTGCTGATGATACTAAAATATTTGCGGATCCGACAGTTGACTATAACCATCTTCAAGAGGACTTAAACAGAATAGCAAACTGGTCCAAGGAGTGGCTCATCAACCTCAACGCTTCTAAATGTACGGTACTGCATATAGGTAACAGTAATCCTCGTCTGACATATAAACTGGGTAACGCTGAACTGACAGGGGTCAAGGTGCAAACAGACTTAGGGGTAAAGATTACAGAGGATCTAAAGTGGGAAGAGCACATAACTTCGATCACCAAGAAAGCCAAGAGTCTTATATACCTCATCAGGAAAGCGTTTGGTGTCTTGACTCCTGAGATGATGCTTAAGATCCACAAAACTTTCGTCAGGCCCATCCTAGAGTATGCATTTCAGGTCTGGAGCCCCTACTTCGCAAAGGATATCAAACACTTGGAAAAAGTACAGCGTAGTTTTACTAAAATACCACGAGCACTGAAACAGCATCCATATGAAGAACGCTTGAAGGTTTTAAACTTAACCACATTGAAGGATCGCAGGCAGCGTGGAGACCTAATTGAGACATACAAGATCTTGAGTGGACATTATGACATTACTGATTTCAACCAAATGTTCTCACGTAATAAAAACGTTCATCTTAGAGGCCACCACCTTAAGCTGTGTAAAAGCTTATCGAAAAATATTCCTCACAGACACTTTCTGAGTAATCGCGTGGTCGGAGCATGGAACAAGCTGCCAGAATATGTAATCGCTGCACAGAATGTTAACCAGTTCAAAAACAGGCTTGACAGATACACAACATTGAATAACCACTGATAGAAAAATACGATACAGGCATTTATCAGTTGTTTCAACTGCCTGTCTGAATTAAATAAATAATAAAATAATAATAAAAGGTTGCGGTCACAGGAGTCCTCGCGATGTTTGACAGTTTAAAAATAAACCCTACTCTTCCTGCGGGTGTGATAGAAATCTACTAAAATACTACATATTTAAAAGAGATCAGATAGTTAGAAACCTAGCAGCAATTGCCGATAAATCTGATTAAGAATGTATCAATTTTGTTCGGTGTAATCATGATCAGTTCTGTTGGTGAAAATGGCCCTAAGAGACTTTACAGTTCACATAACAGAGATGGCACCCTGGACATCGGTGCTCTCTTTTTCAACTGTAATCTCTAATCAGTTCACCAAGTGTGGAGATAACAAACTCCTATTATGTAGAGGAGACTCATAGTCCAATAGACTGTCACCAGCTGTTCATAATTCTATTAATATAATAAATGCGTGGTTTGTATGTTTGTTTGTCACTCGTTCACATCAAAATAGCTGTAGTGATTACGATGAAAACAAATGCACTATCCAACACAAAAAGAATTATTCAAATCAGACTTGTAGTTACGGAGATTAGCGCGTTCAAACAAACAAAAAACAAACTCTTCTGCTTATATAATAGTATAAGATAGGGTTGCAGTTGAAACCGCTGACAGAAGCTAATATTACATAATAAAGCTATAAAAAGCTTCGACTGACCTGAGAATTTAATCTTGAGTGTTTGACAAATAAGGAAAATATTTAATAATTAACCGCTTGAATGTATCGATATGAGACACAATAGAAAATGTATGTATTGTGTCTAGGGTTGCCACCTTTTATTTTGGTATTTAACTCGTCGAGTACCGTGTTTATAGACACAATTAAAGAACAATAGGTTGCGGTCACCGGTGACCGCTTGGTGTTTGACAGTTTAAAGTACATTGACGATTATAGGTAAGAAAAAAAAGTACACAGTACAAAAATAAAGTACAATTTATTCTTATACCAATTTTTTATTGCTTTTTGCAGTTTGTATAAAATTAGTATCTTTACTAAACAATTGCATTGAAATACTAAACAATTGCATCTTTACTAGAAATTGTCTAAGTGGCGCTGGCGAGTGGCGAAATCGATTCAACATAAGTCGATAAATATCGATATCGAATTTTGC